CCACACAGCCCGTCGCTGCTTTGGCCGCCTGACCGACGCCTGGCGTCAGCAGTTTCCGGAGGCCGCTGAGATCCCCCGCTGGGGAGAGCTGTCTAGGGCTGGAGTGGCTATTTATGATCTTGACTTTGATGCTATTCTCTCTGCTATGTATGCTGTGACTGGTAGTGATGAGGATGACTGTTACCGGTGTTTCCCGCCCGACCCGGGCATTGGTACTGCCGCGTCAGGTACTAGTGAGGCTGCTGCTCTAGGTGCCAGTGCGTCTGTTCTCTCAGGTGCTGGTGAGTCTGCCCTCTCAGGTACTGTGTCGGCTTCGGCCTCTCACACCTTCACCCTTGACTCTGGAGCGTCTCGCTCCTTCTTTAGGGACCGCACCACTCTCACGCCGCTGAGTCGGCCGGTTGCAGTGTCCCTGGCTGACCCCTCTGGGGGGCCGGTCCTGGCTCGCTTCTCCACTGTCCTCCCGTGGCCGGCGGCCCCCTCTGGCACCCTGACTGGTCTCTACCTCCCCTCGTTCTCGACGAACTTGGTGAGTGGTGCTGACCTCCAGGATGCGGGTGTCCACCAGTTCACCCCTGCTCGTCAGCGGGTGACCCACTGCACGGAGGAGGATACAGGTCGCCACCTGGCTACGTTTACACGTCGGCCAGGGTCGAGCCTGTACACACTGACCACTGCTTCTCCTCCAGGTGCTGAGTCTGGTAGGGTCCCTTCGTCTGGTCAGGTGTTTGCTGCAGCGTCCAGGTCTGGTCCTGAGTCTGCCCCCTGCTCGTGTCGTCGTCTGTCTCACGAGACCCTCCTCTGGCACCACCGCCTTGGCCACCCCTCTCTGCTTCGGCTCACAGGCATGGCCTCGCGAGTCCTTGTGTCTGGTCTTCCCCGGTCTCTCCCTCCCCTTCCTCCGGGCCCTGGCCCCACCTGTGTCCCCTGCGTCGAGGGGCGCCAGCGTGCTGCCCCTCACTCCTCCCAGTTTCCTCCCACAGAGGCCCCGTTGCAGACGCTTCACATGGACGTGTGGGGCCCAGCCCGTGTCCGTGGACAGGGTCAGGAACGCTACTTCCTGCTGGTGGTTGACGACTACTCGCGTTACACCACAGTCTTCCCCTTGCGCAGCAAGGGTGAGGTCACTGAGGTGCTGATCGACTGGATCCGCGCAGCTCGTCTCCGGCTTCGGAGGAGCTTTGGCTCTGACTTCCCTGTTTTGCGTCTGCACTCGGACAGAGGTGGAGAGTTCTCCTCCGGCCTCCTGAGTGCCTACTGTCGTGTGCGAGGCATCCGTCAGACCTTCACGCTTCCGGACTCACCGCAGCAAAATGGGATTGCTGAGCGCCGCATTGGCATGGTCATGGACGTCGCTCGTACGTCCATGATGCATGCGGCTGCTCCCCATTTTCTGTGGCCGTTTGCGGTCAGGTACGCTGCACACCAGATCAACCTCCACCCCAGGGTCTCTCGATCGGAGACCTCCCCAGCCCTGCTGTGGACCGGGAAGGTTGGCGATGCGTCGGCGTTCCGGGTCTGGGGATCTCGGGCGTTTGTTCGCGACCTGTCTGCGGACAAGCTGTCCCCTCGTGCTTCTCCCTGCGTCTTCCTGGGGTTCCCCCCCGACGCCCCTGGGTGGCAGTTTTACCACCCCACCTCTCGACGTGTTCTGTCCTCCCAGGACGTCACGTTCGACGAGTCGGTGCCCTACTACCGCCTCTTCCCCTACCGCACTCCGTCCCTCCCCCCACCCCCGCTCTTCTTGGTACCAGGTCCCCCCCCGGTAGTCCCCCTCCCCCCTCAGGGTCCTGCCCCTTCAGGTGTGTCCCAGGTAGACGCGGTCGAGCCTGTCGAGGTCACTAGTGACTCTGGTACTGCTGCGGGAGCTGAGCCTGGGGGTGCGGAGTCTGGGGGTGCTGAGCCTGGAGGTGCCGAGTCTGGGGGTGCTGAGCCTGGAGGTGCCGAGTCTGGGGGTGCTGTGCCTGGGGGTGCTGAGCCTGGGGGTGCTGAGCCTGGGGGTGCCGTGCCTGGGGGTGCTGTGTCTAGGGGTGCTGAGCCTGGAGGTGCTGTGCCTGGGGGTGCTTCGTCTCGCCGGGAGCCTCTCTCCCCACAGGAGCTGCGTGAGTGGTTTGCCGGGCGCTGGAGGCGTGCTGCTGGTGCTGGTGGTTCTTCGACTGCAGAGGGTACTGCTGCTGCGCGCCCCGCCGGCGCTCGTACTGTGGGTGCTGGAGCTGCTGAGTCTGAGAGTTCTCCTGGAGCTGGTCCTACTGAGGGTGTTGGCGCTGAGCCTGCCGTTGGCGGCCCTACTGACAGTGCTCCTGGTGCTGCGGCTGGAGGTTCCAGAGCTTCTGGTGGTGCTGCTGGAGGTGCTGCTGGAGTGGGTGCTCCTGCCGGGGCTGCTGGTGCTGTTCCTGCTGTTTCTAGCGTCGCCGCGCGGCCCCGACCGTACTTCGTTCCGCTCCTGCAGCAGGTTCTTGGTCTTCCACCTCCTCCTCCTCCCTTAGAGGGTCCGCAGCCTGTCCGGTCACAGCCACAGCTACAGCCTGCCTCCCCTTTGCCTGCTCCTTCTCCCTACGCTGGTCCGACTGGAGGTCTTACTGAGCGTCGTGAGCCTGCGTCTCGTCCTGTGTCGCCTGTTCGTACTGAGCGCGCTAGTGGTCGCGGGTCGCGTCAGCGTCCTCCTCCTGTCCCTGGCACGCACCGGATGTCACTGCGTCCGTCCACTGCTCCTCTGCGTGCCCCTTTGCCTTCTCCTCCTGCTTCCTCTCTTCCTGCTCTTGCCGACCCGGAGTCGGACGCTCTTCGTGCTGCCAGTCCTACTGTCACGCGTCTCCTGGCTACTGCTGTCACTGACCCCTCCTTCGAGTCGTCTGCTGCGTCTGCCCTTGTCACTGAGCTTGTCGACTTTGCTGCGCGCTGTCGTCTAGACTACGCTGCTCGTCTTGTCACTGAGTCTGAGTCCGCCTGTCCTCCGTCCGTCGGGGGTGAGTGTGCCCTTGGCACGGACATCCTTGAGGACAGGCAGGAGGAGTTCCAGTGTCTAGCCGCCGCTTCACCTCGTCTCGCGTCTGTACTGCTAGCCCCTGAGGGAGACCCGGATGCACCAGACATCCCGACTCCGCGTTCTTACGCGGAGGCGATAGAGGGTCCCTACTCCTCTCAGTGGCAGGCAGCTATGGATGCAGAGATGGCTTCCTGGAAGTCCACAGGCACCTACGTTGACGCTGTTCCCCCTCCTGGGGCGAACATCGTCAGTGGCATGTGGATTTTCAGGGTGAAGCGGCCGCCGGGTTCTCCGCCTGTCTTCAAGGCGCGTTACGTGGCTCGTGGCTTCAGTCAGCGGCAGGGGGTTGACTACTTTCAGACCTTCTCCCCCACCCCGAAGATGACCACTCTTCGGGTTCTGCTACACGTTGCTGCTCACCGTGACTACGAGCTGCACTCTCTCGACTTCAGCACAGCTTTCTTGCAGGGCAGCCTGCACGAGGAGATCTGGCTGCGTCGCCCACCTGGCTTCACTGGGTCTTTCCCTCCTGGTACCCAGTGGAGTCTCCGGCGTCCAGTCTACGGTCTCCGCCAGGCGCCACGTGAGTGGCACGACACACTGAGGACTACGCTCGCGGCACTTGGGTTTGCTCCTTCCACTGCCGACCCGTCGCTGTTTCTGCGCACCGACACCTCTCTGCCGCCGTTCTACATCCTCGTGTACGTCGACGACTTGGTCTTTGCCACAGCTGACACTGCTGGACTCGCCTACGTGAAGTCCGAGCTGCAGAAGAGACACACGTGCACTGACCTGGGTGAACTGCGCAGCTACCTTGGCTTGCAGATCACCCGGGACAGAGCACGCCGCACCATTACCCTGACTCAGTCACACATGGTGCAGCAGGTCCTTCAGCGCTTCGGCTTCACGTACTCCTCGCCTCAGGCCACTCCTCTGCCTACTCGCCACTCGCTCTCAGCTCTGCCTTCGGATGAGTCCGTAGAGTCGAGTGGCCCGTTTGCAGAGCTTGTTGGCTGCCTCATGTACCTGATGACCTGCACACGACCTGACCTCGCATACCCTCTTAGCATTCTCGCACGCTTTGTTGCTCCTGGGAGACACCGACCAGAGCACATGGCTGCAGCGAAGAGGGTGTTGCGCTACTTGTGCAGTACGTCGGGCATGGGACTAGTGCTTGGAGGGCGCAGTCCAGTGGTCCTCACTGGGCACGCAGACGCTTCTTGGGCTGACGACCAGGCTACGCAGCGGTCGTCTCAGGGTTACACCTTCAGCCTTGGTTCCGGCTCTGTCTCGTGGCGGGCCACCCGCTCGTCTTCTGTTCTCGGCTCCAGTTGTGAGGCTGAGATCTACGCTGGGGCTATGGCTGCACAGGAGTTACGCTGGCTCACCTACCTGCTGACCGACCTTGGAGAGCAGCCTCGTTCTCCTCCAGTCCTGTACGTAGACAACAAGGCCATGCTGGCCTTGTGTCGAGAGCAGCGACTGGAGCACAGAACGAAGCACATTGCTCTTCGCTACTTTCTTGCTCGTGAGCTACAGCAGCGTGGAGAGCTGCGACTTGCGTACGTGGCCTCTGAGGCCAACACTGCTGATGTCTTCACCAAGGCACTTGCGCCTTGTGATCATCAGCGTTGCTGCACGCAGTTGGGTCTTGTGCCTGTCTTGCCTCACTTGCTCTCCTCTTGACCTTGCTTGTACCTTCACATATATATATACTCTTGCTCTTGTATATCTCTATATATGATCTTGCATGTGAACTGGCCTTGTGGCCTTTGAACTTGTGCTCGGAATGCGTGGTGACTTTGTGATCCACCCTGAGCTTTGCTTTGCTTTGCTTGACTGGTCTTGTGACCCCTTGTTCTCCCCCACTTTGCCTATGGGGGTGTGTCAGAACATATAGCTTACTTGTTTCTGTAGGCTATAGTGGGGTATCCCATAGGGTGTACAACCCAATTAGGGTTTCCTATTTGTACTCTCTTCGTTCATAGTCATTTCACTTCTCGTTCGTACTTTCTCATCGTACTACCTCCATTCTTTTCACCACCAACCTTTCCCCTTCCGTGCGCAAGATTCTCCAGTAGTTCTGCTGCTTCACTACCTCCCCTCCGGTGCGAACCAAGTCTATTGCTTCAGCGATTTCCTCCGCTGTCCGTTGCTTTAACAAGTTGTTTCTCCATTCCACCGGGGCGGCTTGAAAGGCCTTAAGCGCCCATCTAGCCGGTGGCTTGCCTCCCATCTCCCTGCTCAATCTCTCCAAGTCCTTGACCACCGCTGTCCCATCTAGATTTGCGATGAGCAGGTCGGCAAGCTTCATCCCTTTCAAGCACTCCGAGCCTCTCTGCGCGCCGAAGGGACTGTTCCCTCTGAAGAGGATCCGCCTGTTAAACCAGAGATGCTCTAGCTCCACCTCCCATCTGGACTGCGGCTCTCCAAACAGTGGGATATCCCTCTTCCACAGGATTTGCAGGAAGGCTTTCCACCTTTCTCCCCCCTCTTTCCATTGGCTGGAAATATTCTTATGTGCCCACAGCGTCGCCCAACCCAACGGCATCTTCGCTGCTTGCTCCATCATCCATTTTTTTATGTCACTCGTTTCCGCGATGGCTTTGCTGAGGCATTGTAACGCCATGCTGTCTGTCCGGTCTCTCGGGCTGATGACCCCCAATCCCCCGTCTCTCCTTCTGCATGTCAGGTCGTAACTCCAGAGGACGAACCTCCTGTCCAGCGACGACTTCCCCCCCCCCCCCCGACACGAAATTGTGGCATAATCTGCGGATTCTTGTCCAGAAATCAACCGGCGGCGGGTATATCTGCGCCTGGAAGAGCAACACCGGCATCGCATATGAGTTCATCACCGCCACCCTGGCTGTCGTTATAAGATGCTGTGCTGCCCAGCGACTAAGTGAGCTTTTTCCCAGGACGGTCCCGCCTCCCCATTTGGTGTGATCCATACCCCCAACAGCCTCTCCGGTTGGTCAGGCACTGCCATCTTGAAAAATGTCTGCTTCACTAATTTCCGCCAGCGGTTTCTCCCCAGCGGCATTAACACACTCTTCTCTTGGCTGATGCGCAGGCCTGACACCTCTCCAAAGTCTTTCAGCACCTCCCCCGCCTTTTCCACCTGCGCAAGCCCATTCAACGCCAGTGTAGTATCGTCTGCATACCCCAGGTATGCCAGCTCCCCCTTTCTGCGTTTCCTGGCCAAGAGCTTTCCTTTCTTAATTTCCTGACATAATGGCTCCACTGCGCAGATGAACAGATACGGCGCGAGCGGGCATCCTTGTCTTACCCCGACTTCCACCCCCAGAGTTTCTCCAAGCCACCCATTGAGGAGAAGTCTGGTACCCGCTTCATTGTGCAGCCCTTCCGCCCAGCTGACAAACGTCTCCGGGAAGCCCATATCCTTTAGGGTGTTGAAGAGGTACTTCTGTGACACAGAATCATATGCCTTCTGAAAGTCGACCAAAAGCAGGTACCAATCCTCCTTCCCCGTCACCGCTGCATCAATCACATCTGCCACTGCCGCCACTGCATCTGACAGCTTCCTCCCCGGTACAAAACCATGCTGGTCCTCCGAGATCACTTTCGATAGAACTCTTTTCATCCTATTTGCCAGCACCTTTGCCACAATCTTGTATAGCGTGTTCAAAAACGTGATCGGCTTGTAGTTTTCCAATCTCTCCTTATCCCCCTTCTTGTGTAGCAGGATCGTTACTGCCGTCGTAAGGCTTTCCGGGAGCTTCGCCGACTACTCGAAGGAGTGTATGAAACGCATCAATCCTGGCCCGAGTATATCCCAATTGCTCTCGAAAAACTCCCTCGGCAGTCCGTCTTGACCTGGCATTTTCCCCTTGCGCATCTCTGCTAACGCCTTTTTGAATTATTTTTCTGTCCATTTCGCCTGCAGCACTTCCCTGTCTTCCTCATCCAACCGCTTGCTCCTGTCAGTTGACCACTTCTCGCCCGATGTCTCCTTGGCCTTTCCAAAGAGGTCTCGGAAGAAATCTGATGCAGCCAGCAAGATCTCCTTCGCCTCCGTCACCGTTTCCCCCCCCCCACCGAAAGCATTTGAATCTCTGTCTTCGCTCTCCTTGAAGCTATCTTCCCCGTGAGGAACTTGGACGTTTTCCCCCTCCAACTCCCCTTGTATGCCTGCTAGCGTCTGCAGCCAGTCGTTCTTCCCATCCCAGTACACTTTCAGCTGTGCTTCACTCCTTGCCAGCTGCTCTTGCAGGTCAAGGTTTCCCGCATCACTCATAAAGGCTTGCTTGAGCACCGCAACCTTCTCCTCCAGATGTTTGACGGTGCAGGCCACTCTCCTTCTTTCTCCTTTCGCATATTCCTTCAGACACGCATTCAGCTTCTTCAGCGTTTTGACAAAGTGATCATCCGCATCCTGCTGTTGTGTTATCGCCTGTGCGATGTTCCTCACTCCTTGACTCTTTGCTATTTTTTCAGGCAGTCTCCACAGGCCGGGACCTTTCGCCTTCCCCTCAGACGACGCCAACTTCACCGAGATTGCAAACCAGTGGTCCGTGATCCCCTTCGGGATAGAGGTGTGGAAGGCTCCGCCTATGCAACCCAACATCGACGCCGACACGAGCGCACGATCGATCCTTGAGCTCACCCTCGCCGACCTCGAATAAAAGGGGAACTCCTTCTTCACCGGGTGAACAGTGTGGAAGGCATCATGTAAGTCCAACCCAACACACCCGTTCAGCAGTCTCTAATTCTCAGCCATTGACCCGAGCTTAGAAGTTTTGTCCAGCTCCGGGTCTTCCACCAAATTAAAATCCCACATGAGCATCGTGTGCGTTGCTGCAGGCATTTCGTCTAAGAAGGGGAACAGACAGTCCCTGAGGAAAACATTGCGTATCCCCGCATGCGCCGGAAGGTACACTGCTACCAGTCGCAGCTCCGGCTCTTTCCACCTCAAGCCGACACTGATCAGCCTTCTTGACGCGTGCTTCACCACATCCAGAAGCTGTACCTCAGGTGAGAAAACCAGTACCGCTGCCCCCCCAGCTTTCTGTGAAGGCGATGCTGAGGCCACCGCCGTGGGTCTTAGTTGTGTCCAAAAATTATGATCTTCACTTATCCTTGTATCGGTTAGAACCACTACATCTGCAGCTTTCCTTAACCACCTCCAGCACTTATTCCTTTTCCCTGCGCTGCCAAAGCCGTTGATATTGACCGCGCTTAACTTGATTGTGTTGGGTGTATTCATTTGACCACTGCCTGGAGACCCCACAGCATCCACGGGTCATAAGATCACGGTGAAAATAGCACATAGCAAGACACCGCAACTACCGCCGATACAGCCACAGCAAATCCAGATACAGCTAGCTCTGTGAGCCTTATTCTGGAAACCACTTAATCTCTCCTTATTGATGTATCTGCCTCCCTCTTTCTCCAGCAGCCGGTCACTTGAAGAACTCCTTCCTTAGAGCCGCAACATTGAGAGCGCCTTTGCTTGCACGGGTAGCAGCACCTGCCTTGGTGCGGTTGGACTTGTGGCGGAAGGATGCTACATGCGCCGCAGCAAGCTCAAAACTAGCACCATGGGCCTTCTCGCACGCATCCTGAATATACACCCAGTCCTCGCGGGATCCTCCGGTCGACACCAGTACAATTGCAGGGTCCTTCAAGATGGCTTTCAGGCGGTCTGTGACTACCAGAGAGGCCGCTGCGTGTAAGTGAGTACAAAGGTGAGTCAGTACAGTATATAGGAATTAAAAACTGAGGTGAATCGCAAATAGAAACACGTAAGCCGTCCTTAATACCGTTGATCTCATGAATACGTTTAACCGTGAGGTTCCATTTGGCAATGTTTGCCTGATGGTCAGTGACGTAGGCGTTGTCGTAGCGGGTCAGATGATGGCCGTTGCAGAAGTCACATGTGACAGAAGGGAAGTGCAGCAGGATCTTCTTCCCTCTCTTTGCCGGTTCTTCAATGAAATGACGCCAGCGGTAGCGATCATTCTCGTGCTGAACCACCATGCCGCGTATCTTGTCGGTATCCAGCCCCGTGACTGCCTCCTGAACACGGTGAAAGCCGAACCCCTCCTTGTATGTGAGAAGAAACGAGAATGAATGAACTATGAATGAACTGAGTACAAGTACAAACCCTAATTGGGTTGTACCCCTTATGGGCTACCCCACTATAGCCTACACAATAAGCACAAGCTGTATGTTCTGACACACCCCCATAGGCAAAGTGGGGGAGAACAAGGGGTCACAAGACCAGTCAAGCAAAGCAAGCTCAGGGTGGATCACAAAGTCACCACACAATCTGAGCACAAGTTCAAGGCCACAAGGCCAGTTCACATGCAGGAGTACATATATATTAAGGACTAGACAAGCAAGAGCAGGTGTATATATATCCAACAGTACAAGAAAGGTCAAGAGGTGAGCAAGTGAGGCAAGACAAGCACAAGACCCAGCTGCGTGCAGAAGCACTGATGATCACAAGGCGCAAGTGCCTTGGTGAAGACATCAGCAGTGTTGGCCTCAGAGGCCACGTACGCAAGCCGCAACTGACCACGCTGCTCTAGCTCAGGAGCAAGGAAGTAGCGAAGAGCAATGTGCTTTGTTCTGTGCTCCAGTCTCTGCTCTCGACACAAGGCCAGCATGGCCTTGTTGTCTACGTACAGGACTGGAGGAGAACGAGGCGACTCTCCAAGGTCGGTCAGCAGGTAGGTGAGCCAGCGAAGCTCCTGTGCAGCCATGGCCCCGGCGTAGATCTCAGCCTCACAACTAGAGCCGAGAACAGAAGACGAGCGAGTAGCCCGCCACAAAACAGAGCCGGCACCAAGGCTGAAGGTGTAACCCTGTGACGGCCGCTGCATAGCCTGGTCGTCAGCCCAAGAAGCGTCAGCGTGCCCAGTGAGGACCACTGGACTCCGCCCTCCAAGCACTAGCCCCATGCCCGACTAACTGCACAAGTAGCGCAACACCCTCTTCGCTGCAGCCATGTGCTCTGGTCGGTGTCTCCCAGGAGCAACATAGCGTGCGAGAATGCTAAGAGGGTATGCAAGGTCAGGTCGTGTGCAGGTCATCAGGTACATGAGGCAGCCAACAAGCTCTGGATACGGGCCACTCGACTCTACGGACTCATCCGAAGGCAGAGCTGAGAGCGAGTGGCGAGTAGGCAGAGGAGTGGCCTGAGGCGAGGAGTACGTGAAGCCAAAGCGCTGAAGGACCTGCTGCACCATGTGTGACTGAGTCAGGGTAATGGTGCGGCGTGCTCTGTCCCGGGTGATCTGCAAGCCAAGGTAGCTGCGAAGTTCACCCAGGTCTGTGCACGTGTGTCTCTTCTGCAGCTCGGACTTCACGTAGGCGAGTCCAGCAATGTCAGCTGTGGCAAAGACCAAGTCGTCGACGTACACGAGGATGTAGAACGGCGGCAGAGAAGTGTCGGTGCGCAGAAACAGCGACGGGTCAGTAGTAGAAGGAGCAAAGCCAAGAGCCGCAAGCGTAGTCCTCAGTGTGTCGTGCCACTCACGTGGCGCCTGGCGGAGACCGTAGACTGGACGCCGGAGACTCCACTGGGTACCAGGAGGGAAAGACCCAGTGAAGCCAGGTGGGCGGCGCAGCCAGATCTCCTCGTGCAGGCTGCCCTGCAAGAAAGCTGTGCTGAAGTCTAGAGAGTGCAGCTCGTAGTCACAGTGAGCAGCAACGTGCAGCAGTACCCCAAGAGTGGTCATCTTCGGGGTGGGAGAGAAGGTCTGAAAGTAGTCAACTCCCTGCCGCTGACTGAAGCCACGAGCCACGTAACGCGCCTTGAAGACAGGCGGAGAACCCGGCGGCCGCTTCACCCTGAAGATCCACATGCCACTGACGATGTTCGCCCCAGGAGGGGGGACAGCGTCAACGTAGGTGCCTGTGGACTTCGAGGAAGCCATCTCTGCACCCATAGCTGCCTGCCACTGAGAAGAGTAGGGACCCTCTATCGCCTCCGCGTAAGAGCGCGGAGTCGGGATGTCAAGTGCATCCGAGTCTCCCTCAGGGGTAAGCAGTACGGACACGAGATGAGGTGAAGCAGCGGCCAAGCACTGGAACTCCTCCTGCCTGTCCTCAAGGACGTCCGTGCCAAGGGCACACTCACCCCCGACGGACGGAGGACAGACAGACTCAGACTCAGCGACAAGACTAGCAGCGTAGTCTAGGCGACAGCGAGCAGCAAAGTCGACGAGCTCAGCAACTAGGGCAGACGCAGCAGTGGACTCGAAAGAAGGGTCAGTGACGATAATAGCCAGGAGACACGTGACAGTAGGACTGGCAGCACGAATAGAGTCCGACGCCGGGTCGGCAAAAGCAGGAAGAGAGGACTTAGGAGGAGAAGGCAAAGGGGCACACAGAGGAGCAGTGGACGGATGCAAAGACATCCTGTGCGTGCCAGGGACAGGAGGAGGACGCTGACGCGAACCACGACCACTAGCGCGAGCAGCACGGACAGGCGACGCAGGGCGAGACATAGGCTCACGAGGCTCAGTAAGACCTCCAGTAGGTCCAGTGTAGGGAGAAGGAGCAGGCAAAGGGGAGGTAGGCTGCAACTGTAACTGTGACGGGACTGGCTGTGGACACTCTAAAGAAGGAGGAGGACCAGTAGAAGGCGGAAGACCAACAACCTGCTGAAGGAGTGGAACGAAGTATGGTCGAGGCCGCGCGGCGACGCCAGACACAGCAGGTACAGCACCAGTACCTCCAGCAGGAGCACCCGCTCCAGCTGCACCTCCAGCAGCGCCAGAAACTCCAGCAGTACTAGGAGCACCCGCAGCAGGACCGCCAGCAGTAGTCTCAGCTCCAACACCCTCAGCAGCACCAGCTCCAGTCGAACCCGCAGGCCCAGCAGCTCCAGTACTCCCAGTACGAGCACCTCCGGGACCTGCGACAGCAGCACCCTCCGTAGCCGAAGAACCTCCAGCACCAGCAGCACGCCTCCAGCGCCGGGCAAACCACTCGCGCAACTCCCGTGGAGAGAGTGGCTCCCGCAGAGACGAAGCACCCGGAGAACCTCGAGGCGGAGCACCTCCAAGCTCAGCACCCCCGGGCTCAGCACACCCAGGCTCAGCACCCCAGGCTCAGCACCCCCAGGCGCAGCACCCCCAGACTCATCACCCCCATGCTCAGCACCCCTAGTCTCAGCACACCCAGGCTCAGCACCCCCAGGCTCAGCACCCCCACGCTCAGCACCCCCAAGCTCAGCACCCCCAGGCTCAGCACCCCCAGTCGTAGCACCCCCCGGCTCAGCACCCCCAGGCTCAGCACCCCCAGAGTCAGCACCCCCAGGCTCAGCACCCTCAGCAGCACCAGAGTCACCAGTGACCTCGACAAGCTCGACTGCGTCTACCTGGGACACACCTGAAGGGGACGGACCCTGAGGGGGGAGGGGGTCTACCGGAGGGGGACCTGGTACAAGGAAGAGCGGCGGCAGGGGAAGGGACGGAGTGCGGTAGGGGAAGAGGCGGTAGTAGGGGAACGACTCGTCAAACGTGACGTCTTGGGAGGACAGAACACGGCGAGAGGTGGGGTGGTAGAACTGCCACCCAGGCGCGTCAGGGGGGAACCCCAGGAAGACGCAAGGAG